ATATTGTCTCTCTCTTATATATATACGTGTAATAGAGTCACATGTTGTTAGGAGCATATGCCGTGTCCAGTAGCAACAATATTAATCATGGCTTTAGTAAGCAATACAAAAGCATATGCTGATTTCTATCACTATTCCATAGTAACCTTCGTAGGCGTTTGCACTGGATATAACCATAAAACATAAGATTTGTCGTCGTGAATTATTAGGTGAAAATAACTGAAAAATAATGGACAAAAAGGCTCGCCGTTTACAGTAAAATAGAAGTGGACCTATTTCTCCTAAGCACAATAATCGCATATACACAACAATCACGCCCACAATCAGATCACACATTATCAGATAATATACACTGGCCGTTTTGCCCGCACAATTGTATCCCTTTTTTCTCATATATTCACTCCGTTGCAAATCCATCCCACGTATGGTTATTATACGATTTTATATATGAGGTTGATATATATATATATATATCTCGCGTGTATTGTCTCTGTCTTACAGTATTTCCAGGAGCTTAACAGCTAGCGGGCTAGCTATAGCAGCATATACATGAACATGTAGTAGACAGAATTACCCGCCATTTCAACAGGGTGACAAGAATATCTTCGCGCACGTTTTCGGTCATCTGTATTCTACAATGTCCACCTCTCCCTACTTAAATGTCAGAGAGAGGGAGTTGGTAATTTCCGACTCGATAATTTTCTCTTTATTAGCAATTGTAATTGTAGGTTTCGCCATTCCTTTTTTTAACAACTAACTTAACAGGTAGATACAAACATTGGCACACTAACTGACCGCCACGGGTGGCTGTTGCGCCAACTTGTGGAGCAAGCATGTCCTCATTAATCACCATTCGACTCATAGGCCATTCACTGCAGTGTACTTTGTATAACAGCTGTCTTAGCCATTCTACGAACAACATTTGTTTGGTCGATATATCTACTATTGGTTCAATATTTACGATTAGCAATTTTAATACTATTATTACGTCATATTACTGCTTTCACAATGATTATTCTAATTGCCATGAATTTGTCGTCGACGGTGCAAACTCTGCCCGTCGGTCGATCAGTTAGCAGGCCAGACTTTCATGCTTTCCCCATCTAATCTTCTTTGTCTTTCTCTTTCCTTCATCTTATTACTGTAATGTACTTGCTGAATGGATAAATGAATACTTATTTGACTTCATCCCGTTTAGTCTCTAGACATTGGATTGCTTTTTCGCTTACTGCTACTGCCACTACTGCTACTTGCTCCAGAAGCGAAGTTCGTTACTGACTTCTTTCGAGCCATCAGGGCCTCATCGCTCGACATAAGTGCCTTGGCAAACGCGTTATCATTAGACGAGATCAGGCCGCCACAGGCCACCTTGCTTGGGCCACCAGTGGCCATGTTTGCGGAGGCAATTGTTTCCAGCATAGTGGGTACTTCACCAGTGACGAAGCCCTCCTCCGTAGTAAAGAATCCTTCCGGCGCGTCTTGACCTCCTGTTATGGTTGACGTAGCCTGCTGAGGATGGTGGGGCTGAACACTGTGGTCTTCAGCAGCCTGTGTTTGGCTTGTGCCATCGGTTGGTTGCTGCTGAGCCTGTTGCTGTTGTTGCTGCTGATTAGAAATATCGGCGAGATCTTGTTTCGTTGGTGAGTGAACTTCGCGAAGCTTGACTTCGTTCTGGGACAAAAACACTTCGACAACGGCCACCGGGATGTCATCCTGAGGGGCTTGGCCGACACCAGATTCACCATCATCAGGTTGGTCCGGTGAACCAAGTTCCTCTGAGGGTGGACTCTCCTCCTGTGAATCCGTTTCGCTGTCTGCTCCGGCAATGGCACCCATGCGGTCCTCGTTATAGTCTATCTGCAGATCTGTTCCTGAATCATTTATTTGAAGTCATTAATTTCAATCAAGTAAAAATCAGGTAAATCACATGTCAGTGTATTAGGGCAAAAGTAAAATAAGTTTTATCATTATTAGTATTAGCATAAATATCGAGCCTAATTTTCAACTACAAAAATAAGTTCACTGACTTCTAACAATTTCTATTGCTGAAATGTTCTCCACGAAATATACCAAAAATTGTCGAGTTCTCAGTTGTTATTTACATGCATTCATAAGAAACTGACCGCTAAAAGTGATTTTTACAGTTCTTTACTGAAATATTACTAAAGTATACAAACAGTTCTACAGCAAATCAATAAATAATAATGCCAACAGTAACACTAACCTCTGCGTCGTGAGCGCGTGGAGGTTTTGATGAGATCAGTTTTGCGCATACTTTTTTGCTTCTTAGTTAGAGGCTTCTTACTCAGTTTCGGTTGGGGCAATTCGGGTTCTTGTAAAAGCTTTTCCACGGCAGATGTGGCCTCGTCAACAGCTTTCGACTGTATGGGAGCAACAGACACTACAGGCACTGATACGGTGGGTGACGCCAGAATCTTGGCACTGACCGGCTTTCTCATTTGCTGCACAAGTGGTTTTTTAGGAGGCGGCTGTTTGCGCTCAACGGTCGCCTTTGGCAGCTGAGCCTGTATGGGTTGTTTCCTGTGGACAGTCACCAACTGCTGAACAGCAGGATGTTGATCAGCCGCCACTGTCGCTGTGTTTGATGTGCTGGTGGTCGTCGATGAAGGCAAGAGCTTCTCCAGGGCGGGTTTCTGCGCTTGTGGTTGTGCAAACTTTGGTGGGCCTATAGATCGTACAGTCGTCGCCAATGGCCGCGTGAAGATAGTAGGACTTCGGGTGACCAGGATGGGTGTTGAACTTTTCGCGGCATTAGCACCCGGTGTAAATACAATAGTTGTCGGGGGCGGTGGGGAGGGAGTCGCCTGTACGGTTATCTGACGTTGTTGCACGACTGGACGTGGTGGCACCAGGCTTCCTGAGGGGCTAACGGTGCGAACAACCAGTTTGCCACCTGTGGGCAACATTGTAACCGTGCCTTGACGAAGCGTTTGGACAGATCCGGCTTGACTGATGGTTGGCCGCATCGTAATTAACCGGGCTTGACCTTGTGCTGTGGAACCGGTGGGAGCAAGCAGTCGTGGCGCACCGGGACGTGATATAGAGGTAATTATGCGAGGTCCTCGAATAATAGATGGCCGTATTGCGGCTGTTACCACACGCGGAACTGATGTTGTGGATGAACCAGTTATGCTGCTTGTACGCATCACCACTGTATCAGGAGTTACGGAACTGGATGTAGATCCTGCGGTCAAACCAGTCGGGCGAACTGCGCACGGGAACATTTTCACCGAGGGTGGTCTAGCGGTCACCACCTGAACTCGCGGGGTACCGGTCTTTCCTGCTAGCCCTGTTGTTGAAACATTTGCCTGAACAGCAGCTCCGGCTAGACGAATATTGCCAGGTTGACCGGGTGTGCTGACAAGCGGTCGATGAACGACTTTGTTCATAACGATCGTCTTCATAATTCCTGACCCCATTGGCGACCGTAAACCATTAGCTGGTACAGTAATGACCACAGGGCGAGTCGTCCCACTGGTCGAAGTCTGAACCTGTACTGGTAACGACATTGTTACTTGGCTTGTCGGAATTTGTACCTGAAGCGGTTGTGAGGTGACGTTTGAACTAGAACTGGTAGGCTGCACAACGATAGGGGGCGCCACCATTGAAGGAACAACGACGTTTACTGTAGGAGTAGGTGCCTTTTGTGCAATCGCAAAAGGCCTCGCCAAGCCCGACGCCGAAGCCGGAGGTGACATAACTGTCGGTCGCGTGACAACTATAACATCGGGTTTCTTGTTGAACGCCGGGCCGGCTTCATCAAGTGGTGCCTCTGACTCTGTTACAGCGTCATTGGCTTTGCTAGTTATTGCTCCACGTGCAAACAAATCAGAAGAGTCCTCGAAATCGTCCATAACCTTGCGTTTTCTCTCACGTTTTCCTTGCATAATAGTTGGTGCCTCGAACAATGGCACCTTTGGAATTGACCTATCATCCATTTTCTGCTTTTTTGATTGGGGTTCATCGCCACTGTCTTGCGCCGCCTGCCTTGGCGATCCAATGCTTACAGCAATCTGCTGAGTGCGAGGTGGGCTAGCGCCAAGTGGCGTTGGCGGTGCAGAAGACAATTTCTGCTCTAGTTGTCGCAGATGTTCTTCCTCGTCTAAGGTTTCTTCTGCCGTATCTGTATCCGACCCCCGCGAAACCCGAATAGGCTGCTTCTTGGTGACAACTTTAACAGTCACTTTACGTGTCTGACTTTCGGGCACACGGGTGTCCAAGATCCTCTTAGGTGATCCTGATCCCGCTTCAAGCAAAGGAGGCGATCCTGCAAGACTGCCGTCCGCTGAGCGGATTCCTGTACGCAGTGGAGATCCACCAGCGGGAGACTCTAAGATTGTAGAAACGCTTCCTTCTTCAAGCCCATCCTTTTGAGAAAAGCCGGCTGCTTCTATTGTAGATTCATCATTTCGTTTGTCATCTGCCTCGCGTTCGGATCTAGGACGAATCGGAACAGGCAGAGAAACCTTGAGCACGTTCTTTTTTCCTCGGCCCTTCGGAGCCAATTTTTGGGCAAGTCGGGCCTGTTTTTGTTCCTCTGTAAGTGGCGGCCGGCCACGACGCCTCGGAGTAATTGTTTCCTTCTCATTATCAGTAACAGCAGAGTCATCAGTAAGTGATGTGCCGTTAGCAACATTGCCCTTACCTGTTGTATCCGAAAAGGCCGTACCGGATTCATCTTTCGACGGCGAGAATGTCACGTCTGGTTTTCCAGCCATACTTGAGCGTCCGCGTCGTTTTGGAACATCTACGTCCGAACCCGCCGATTCAATAGTAGCTCTATCCATAACAGATTGCTTGTTCTTAGGTGGCCGACCCCGTCTTTTAGGCTGACCTTCAGTACTCACTCTTGGCTCCTCTTCATTAGATGTTGAGGCCAACACTCCAAGGCTGATAGAAGCTGCGATCGCGTGCTTAGGGGGCCTATCAAGCCATTTTGGTATTTCAGTATTGATTAGTGGTACGTCTTTAGCATCCTCTGATGCAGCTTTCGAAGATGGTAGACGTTCGTCTTGCAAAGTTTGAAGGCTCTTTTTAGGAGGCCTACCGCGTTTTTTAGGTGCAATAGCTTCAGGCAAGGACATGTACTCGGCATCCTCGTTTGTTTTATTCTTGTTCACGGCTAATGCGTTTCCGTTCTTCCCAGGCCGTCTTCCACGCCTTTTGGGTGCTTTAGGTTTTGCCAGGGATGGTTCTCTATCGCTGGTGACTTCCGTACTGTTCCGAACTGAAGATTCCAGGCGTTTCTTAGGAGGTCTACCACGTTTTTTGGGTTGCGCAGGCTCATATAGAGCAACCGCATTATCATCTTCCGGCTCAGTGTCGGATAATCCTCCTAAAAATACTCCTAAGCTGATCTTTGAAGGTCTACCGCGTTTTTTAACTACTCGATTTTCAATTTGAGATTCTTTAGTTGTTTTGCGTGGACGACCGATATTTCGCTTTACAAGTTCTGGGTTAGCGCTCTCCATTTGTTCCTCGGCTTTTCTCAATCTGTCGACATCATTTTCTGCGGTAAATTTCTTCGGTCGACCCCTTTTTCCCGGCGTCGTGCGCAGTGTTGCACCTTCGCTACCATCCTTACGATTCAGAAATGGTTCGTTGGCTAATTGAATATTATTATATTCACTAATTCCATGGCTTGCACTGGATGGAGCTTGGTCGTCTGTTGATAATTTAAATGATCGCCCTCGACGGAACGCTCCCTCACCTTCGATTAAATTAATGTCGGGTCTTTTATCATGCCGATTTTCACCTTTTCTTGGCCTCCCTCTTTTGACTGTTCGAACAACGACCTCTGGTTCTTCCCCACGTTCGTCCACTGTCGTATCATAATCTAATCCTTCATAATGTTTACCAATTGATGTTACATATATTTCTTGAGTAGCGTCACTTTCTACAGTAATCTGTGAATCACTAGATAGAAAATCTCTGGTTAACTCTGGTATCTGTTGTCTTGCTGAATGCGTTGTGGTTGCTATTTCGTCGGCGACTTGAATTTCGGGCAAGGTTGTGCTCTTCTTTTTCTTAGGTGGCCGTCCTCTTCTGGGTTTTTCCTTTTCAGGGAAAGCCTGCTTACTTCTTTGAATCTCGTTTTCCATTTCTTCCCGTGCAGCAGCACTTAATTCTTCAATTGCTCTAATATCTTCCAACGCTGCATCATTCGTAGCATCATACGACTCTTTCGCTTTACCTGATCTTCCATATTTGCGCTCTTTTAGAAAACCTGCCGATTTCTCCCAACGAGTTTTACCAATACTGCTCTTCTTTGGTGGCCGACCCCTACGTTTCTTTTCCACTTTTTCTTGTGTTGCTGATTGTCGATGGCGTACCGTTTCCTCCCCGGACATCTCAACCGTTTCTGATTTTCGAGGTGGTCCGCGACGAGGGCCCGGAGTTTCTGCATCCAGACCTATAAGTTCCGATTCAGAAACGCTTAGATCGTCATGTCTCTCCTTTTTTGTATGTGGCAGGTTGCTTCTAGGTAATTCTGCCCCTGTCGTTAAAACGAGCTCTGATTTTCTCGGTCTACCCCTTCCCCGTAAAGCTGGGATTCGAACTTCCTCTAGGGGCAGTTGCTGTCCTTCGTCCCGTTGATCAGAGTCAACAAGCTTTGCCCCAATTGTATCGGTTGCTTCATGAGTCCCCTCTTCGCAAGCTACTTCCAGGTGGGTTTGCTCTACAAAGATCTCAGTTTTTCTTGGGCGGCCCCGACGAATTGCTTTTGGTACAGCACTTGTATCTTTCTCTTTTTCATCATCGCTTAAGCTCTCGCCGTTCAATAATTCCTTAACGACTTCATTTTCGTCATTTTGTTGAACAGTATCTGGTTTCTCAACGAAACCAGTTGCATCTAGCTCAACCTCATGATCACTTCTTGCTGATACGTCATCCCCTGTTTCAGATCTACTACCTGATTCTACCAATTTCTCTGACTCAACTCCTTTGGCATCGTTTTCGGTGGAAACACTAGGACTTGCTCGTTCCCCTTCTATTGTAACAGAAAACCTCGCAGCGTCCACTTTGTCAAGGTTGAAATCGGTATTGGGTTCGGCGTCAATAGCGGCTTTAACGGCGGCGAGATAGCCAGCAAACTGAATTGTGTCTGAAGGCTCCTCAGCCTCTTGGTCGGCCTTAAAGTCCTCTTGGTCTGTGGCCAAAGCTTCGACCGATGCCAAGAAGCTGCGCAGTATCTTTCCGATAGAAATTCTGGCCATTTTTGATGCAGCTCGTGCAGACTTAAATCCAGCGTTCTTTGGAGCACTGGTTTCCGAGTTATTATAAGCCGATTTTCCGTCACCGGTTTTCAGCGGGGTTTTTTCACTCAGCCTTTTGAGGTTAAGGTTCCCACGCGGAGTAAGCTGAATCCGCAGTTTGCTTCTCACTGCAGCAGCCTTCTGGAATGGTTAAACATTGATTCGTCAATTCTTTCGTAACATAAAATCGCTTACAATAACTGTCTGTACAGGAACGATAGTGAATCCGTGGAAACCCATATCGATAAATCATTGGCAGGTAAGAACCGTTTATAGAATGAAAATACATATACAAGTTTAGCAAAGCTACGTTTAGTTAAACTATGTGAAACACAATGAATATGTTGAAACTCTTATTTTACCTTTTTTTTATGATATTTTACTCATATTTTACGTATATATTTAATATATAATATAAGGTAAACCGATATTTAACATACCATTTAACATTTATAATAAGTATATATATATATACTAACGATGCTTACTAATTAATACTAAATGCTGAGTGAAAAGCGCAGTATTTAGTAAAGCTATTCGACGGTAGCATTAGAAGTTAAAATTAGAAAAATTTGATTAGAGTATGCATATATTTTCTGACAAGGTCACTGACACTGGTCTACTAGGGTAGCACACCCGATAAAGGCACAAGTTATTACAATATTCGACCTTTAATATATAAAATTTATTATTTTAAAAATGCATATTCCGCCTATCTCGTTCAATCAATGATTTCACTAATTCTTTTGTTGATCGAACTTTCAATTAAAATAATGCCACGATCATTGGCTGAGAGTATTCAACCATTAAGACCAGATTGTTCTCAGTTTTTATCGTATGATAAACGATGGGATCACATCAAGAAGCATTGTTCACTGCTATTGGAAAATCGATTTCTTATAAGTGATTGCCTTTTCTTTTATATAAAATAAATCTCTCGAGGTCTTACACCTGGCTAAGCGTCGAGTGCGCCACTCCGCCAAAAATGGTCACAGGTAATCGAATTCAAAGGCAGGCTGAAGCAGACCCTATAATCATTGTTGACAACTACTGTCTTATCACAGTTGCTCAAAACGCAACATTTTGCAATTAGAGTTGTTTATTATATCTAGCTCCATTTTGCAAATCAGATCTATGTAGTGTGACGTTCATTTTGCAGTTTCTCCATCGTTAACGCGGCATACCAGCTTGTCAAGGCCGATATGAATCGCACGAATTAATCCTGTAAGTTACTACTGGTTGTTGGCCCATAACAACTGAGGAAGCAAATGAATGTTTAGGTTTCGCCTTATTGGTTATAAAAAAACTATTTGCTCGTAGTTTAAACAGAAGGAATACGCTTTGCAGATTTTCTTGAACAACCAAGAATAACCATTCACCAGGGATGTTATCTATAGGAAGAGTCTGAGAGTTTTGGCGCCATACGTCAACCTATATGAAGGGTAGCTGAGCTCAGCATCGATAGCGATTATTTTCTATGGCCCGTTGGTTTTACAGTAGCTGAACACGGCTCCGCTGACCGCGTCAGGTGTCAACACGCTCCTCAAGCTGTTTTATTGCTTCGAGGCACAGACCAATTTATAGAGCAACTTCGCTAGGCAGTAGTAGACCGAATTAGCTTAACGGACTTAGTACTCTTGGCTGGTTCCTTCAAAATCGGCCAGAAACCTATAGCAGCCACGTGATTTAAACAGAGATCAAGATGACTGATGGAACATATAGGCAGTACACTCTAGACAGAACGGATGATCAGAAGACAGGCGGCAAATCGCTTTTACTAACCAATTTTTCCTCGGTGATACTGTTGTGTCCAGCGCCATTTTCGGCCGGCCCAGTGGCCGCTGAGTCGTCCATTCCTGTCTACTTGCAACCGCACTGCAGCACATTAATGAGAGACGATCCAAAAGGCCACCGTTCGCTTTGTTGCCGCCGTCTGCCCGAACAAGCGGGCAGATATGAGGTCTTTCAGGCGCGTTCCTTTGAAGGTGAAAATATAACTAGCCACGGCATCGCCTATGGTAGGAAGGGCATCTACGTACTCAATTTATGCTTACAGCCACTCGCGCTCACCTGAACTGGTGGCTGGGGGTCTACGGCCGTTTGGCAACACTCAGGGGGCCTCAGAGGGGGCCGCCAACGTTTATATGAATCCTGCGCACAAACACAACCAAACTTGAAAACAACAGAGACAGCGAAAATGGCGCAAATTTTCGAGCCAAAATGGCGGCGAAATCTATGAACCACAAAAGGCACCACATATCGAGCTCGATTAATGATATTGAGCTTATACAAATCTTCTTTTCCGTGTAGCTGATGTGTCGTTGTTTTAAATGATACAAGTATATTATCTATATTTCAATATTCACTGAGTTTTCATTAGTGAGCACAAGTAAATCGCAAAAGATGTCGTTTACCATCCATTGAAATCATTCACATACATTGCATGGAGCCGTATTTCCATGTACTAGCTATTAGCATTGTATTTTTTTGACAAACTATACGCTGCCCCGTTTGTTTGAGAGAAAATCTATTGAACAAATAAAAATCAGTGTAAAAAAAAATAGAATAAGTGCATATAACGTAATTTACATTACGCCATAAGGATCGATCTTTTCTATATGCCCATGGGAATGTCACTGTCCGCTAACGTCAATGTAAGCCCAATTATTATTTTGAGTGGTACGTGCTTACACAATTGGTAGAGGCTATGGTACCTTTGTGGTAGCATTTGGTCGACTGCTGTCCGCTATTTTCCCTTTCCTTCGACTGGAGTCCATTTGTTGTTGACAGGAGTCGAGTTGGGAGATGATACAGTGAGCCAACGGGTAAGTGAACGTCCAACAGCAGCAGCAGCAGCAGCAACTGGGGCAGCGAGCAGTAGAGAGCGCAGGTGAGCATCAGTAACACGCTCATTTAGAGCTGTAGCCGCCGTTCGTTGGTCAGTGAGACTGGCTAGTGCTTGTGCTTCGGCTAGCGCTATGCACCAGAGGGGAGTCGTGTACGGCAGTAGCAGCTCACTCTATTGACATTCTGTAGGTCGGGGAGCCATTCGTACAAAGTTGTAGTGGCAAGCGTTTCTGTCTTTTGTGACTGCCGAGGATGAAGGTTGATTTCGGCGTACCCTATCATTTATTGAAGATGCAGCAGCTAGTTAATCTCTCAGAGTCCGTATAGCAACAGTGTGTCTCAAGTAGCTTGGCGCTGTGGAAGTTGGAGCTGGACTCACGATCTGCGTGAGCTGAGTCTGCGCTTTCAGTCTCCGTCGTGCGTTTTTGTGTGTACGTGTGGCTGGATTGACCATTCAGCGTTCGCTAGTGCTGATATCGCTTTTTCATCGCAAGAAGAGTGTTTCCGGCAACAACGACGAACAGCCTTGCATGCTTTGCACAACCCTGCAACACCATATTGGAATTAACTTGACTTACCTTTGATGGTGATGAAGATGCCAAAATAAACGTGGTTATTCGAAATAGCAGTGGGTGCTGTAAGCTGTCATATGCTCTCGCTTTTTTGAAAAATAGTAATATTTATCTCTTCAAATTGTGGTCGCACCCATTGTCACGCGCTGTGGATAGCGTCAGTATTCTATATATCCAGAGTCAATTTTCAGCTAGAACCAGAGTTTTGTGCCAAAGGAAAAAAGGTGTCGTTATTACGTATGCGTGTATATGGGTGTATCACTCGTCTGTGAATGTGTAACATTCCTCATATCATCATGGGCTCTTGTTGTGTTATTAACTTTGTTTTTTGATCGTGTTTTACTAGCTGTTAGCTAGGCAGCGATTTCCGCTAATTCGCGCAATTGGTGTACTATCTGAATGCTGCAACAGTGGTTAACAAGCCAGAACACTGGTCGTGTATAAAATGTGTCTTAATGTCAAGCTTGTACACTTCTAGCTGATGAGGGGCTAACTGCGGGTAATTTTCTAACGGAGTAAAAATTGAGCTGCGAAAAGAGCATCAAAAAATAGGAAGATGCCACCCTCGTCAGCGGCGGCAGCAGCAGCGACGGGTAGTAGCGCTGGGAGCGGTGGGGGCAGTAACGCGGTGCAGTCGGAATCCGGAGATGGCATGTTCCCTCCATCATATTCAGAAGCAACGGGCCAACACGCGTCGCTTGGGGGTGGACTGACGTTTGTTGATTTTTTGCCAAAGTGCCTGAGCTCCGGAGGCGTATTCTCGCAACCGGCCTTCGAGCCGTTCAGGTATTTCATATCTGCACAAACCACACCAAAATGACCCACAAATATTGAGAATACTAGGTAGCTAGTAGGAGATGGCTGGAATGAAAAGAATCGTTTAGATAAATAATAATTTAAGTATTTTTGATAATGTAATAACGAAACGTTTGCCTACGAAACCTTGGGATACGTAAGGTGGTCAAAGTTCGAGACCGGGTGTAGACACATACTTCGCTTTGACGGCTGGAAAAGGCCGCCGCCCGCCTTAAGCAATGTCTAGAGATAGTACTTGACGTAAAACAGATAAATACAGGTAATATGAATCGCGGCAGCAAAATAAAAAGCACATTTTATCTGTCTGTTGCATATATGTTGTATATGTAAGTTGAAACCTGTAAAGGCTAAAAATAAGGTTCCGATTTTAACTTTGAGCAAATAAAATTGGTTTTTGTTATTTGTATCAGCAAACAATAATTCTAAGCTATTACTCACTTAGAACTGCCATAATAGTAATATTCATAATAGTATTTCCTTTCATTCCTTGTGTAAAATTCGGCGGCTTGCAATTTTTCGCCGTAACTTAAGAAGATGGACATACAATTTAAAAAAACAAACAAATAAAGAGTAATGATAAAGCAGAATTGATAATAAATAGTTGCTAGGTGATAATACATGTGTCTTAATGACTCGCTCGGTGCAATCTTTCTCTTTCGCCTGAATTAACATTTTGGGTCATTGATCGAACGAAATTGACAAGCAAAAGATCCTCCGGAAGCCGACACTGCTCAAAATTTCCCATACAGTGTGACCGAAATTCTCTGGCTGATGAGTTACGGAAACATCAGCATTCACTTTCGTTGAATATCGCATGTATAGTGTGATAAATAGACGTAGTATTACGTAGATTATATTATGGCTAAAAACGTATGTTTGGAGTGCAGAACATTTGAACTTTACTCGCATACCCTTCTATCACGACATCATGCTTCAGCACGACTTAATGAAAAACAGCAGAACGACCAAGCAGAGTAGGCTTATTAAAAACATCGCTGAGGTGTCGCTCCAACACGATTTTTGCGGTTCTATGGGCGGATAATCAGCAGATATCTGGGTGATATCGTTTTTTATACGTTATAACGATAGTTTTCAGAAATATCCGAGTATCCGATACCACGAAGTTCAATGGTATACTTCACGATTTTTTTTGTATGGTCTTGTCTCTTTTGAATTGGATCAATTAAGTTCTCTGTCCCTTACCTAGTTTCGATTTGACGCTATTCAGATTATCTGCATGTATAATTATAAAGCTTGATATATTTTCATAGCTTGTATTCTAGCAGAAGTTTGTATCTTCGTTTTCCGTTGTAATTAAAACAAGTCGGTAATATCGTTGCACTATAGAAAGCAACGCCAAATGGTTAAACTCCGAGCAGTTGTGCATCTTCATTGCAACCCATACGTAAACAAACGTTTGATTAGAAACGATCTTTTAGGGGGACTTCGATGTAATTGGCTAAACTTTCCTTTTATTACAGAATACCGGTGGCAGTCTCTCTACGGTTTGACCGTCATTGGCTGAACATTTTGTGAAAAGAACTTCTCCACACCATATGATAAGCACTGATGTCACAAACGACATGGTGTCTGTTATGTATTTCTCCAATGCTGAGTGGAAATTTTTATCTTTTTAGGGAAAGGGATAGGGTGGGGAAAAGGGGGGCAATAGAATTTAATAATTTTTCTTTATTTATTTACATATGTGGTTTGTATATGTCTCTCAAAATGTAAAATAGGGTGAATAAGATTTACTAGCTTGTCGGAAACCTTGACATTGCTATGAGGATGGTGATTAGTGAAATGTTTTCCGCCGTACTTATATGTGTACCTTCTATGGCAGTTTCTCAAAGTAATGTTTACTCGCCATAGTGAAAGAGTTTTTGCTCGCTTTGTTGTTTAGACATAAGCTAGTTAGGTCGTATAAATCAGCACACTTACCCTCATGCTGTCTTATGTACTTGTATTAGCTTGACTTAGCCGTCTTTTTTAAAAAGATAGACTAGCTATTGTCAACAGAATAAGTGGAGCAACATACGTTATTACGACTGAGATTGTTACGAAAAATATAATAGATACTAGTCCGTGTTGACGACGGGATATACTAGTTACGCTCTTCGCCGTTCGATGTGACACACGATGAAATTCTTTATACCAGTTGATAGTCAACCAATCAGGCCAGATATTGTTGGAACCATCTTTTTTATTTTTTTTTCTTTTTTATTTTTTTAAAATTTTTTTCTTTTTTATTTATTTTTTTTCAGGTTAGGTTTATAATACCTATGTAAAAAATTGAAGTATTGTCTTGGAGTTGAACGACTCGTGCTTCCAGGCTAGTTTAAATAAATATTTCGCCGAATTTTACGTTTGGCACTGTGCGTGTGTGTGTGTGGCATTATATCAGATCTTCAATCTAATCTTCTCCGTTGAAATGCAGTGCAGGGAAGCTTCACTACATTTGTTGGCTAGTGAGTGATCGCCTGCAAAGCGTTTCAAGTCAAGCCAACGATAATTTGAGGAGCATTAGGTCATTGTTCTGCTGATTTGGACGGTTTCCACCTTTGCAGTCTAACATGGAATATCCGGGACGATACGAAAGATTCAGGTGTTTTCATTCAAGTGAGCTATGTTCGATACCAATATGTTTAGCTAGTCATTTAAATAAGCCTGTATAACTTTTAGTGAGGAAGGGCGTCAGTTTTTAAAAAGAATAAAATAGCTATTAATAAAGGCCCCGTTTTTCCTTTATCGCTAAGGTCTAGATTCGAAATATGTACTCACTTTAATCCCCCTGAGTTTTAATTTAACATAAAAATTTTTAACAGTTTTCTTTATCACACATGAGGCGTGTAACGCATGTCATCTAGAAGACAAGCTAGTTGATTATGGCTCTAACAAGTACCCTAATCTCTAACTATATCAACCATAAGTGTTTTACTTAGGCTGCTGCCAATATATGTTTCCCTTCAATATTGTTCAATATTGATCAAGATTACCATCATGTTAGATTTTTATATCTTAATATAATAGAGTTCAACTTGTTTATTAAAGTAGTGCAAAGCTGCTTTGTATTTTTAAGATAATGGATCAAGTATCACCTTGAAGCATATAGCAACGGCGGCAAAAGTATATCCCAATGATAAACAAATACCTTTTATTAAACAGTTTCTTTTAATAAAAACAGACATTTCTTCATATAATGTTTAAATATGTGAAATCAAGGGATTTTATACATTTATGTCATTTATTTTATCGATATGCGCAAAGTAGCGAAATTAGTAGAAAATTGTTTTTTTCAGGAGTTTTACGGTTTCATTCTAAGGCTTTGCGTATCCGTGTATCGCGATTTTTTTACCCAAATTGTTTGGAAATCAGACTTTAAGAATAGCCTGGATTAATACTCAGTTCTTTGTTTGTTATTCAAAAATATTCAAATATATTGTAATGCAAAGTAATATGTAGGCAAGTGTCTATATGTCATGTAGATATAAAAATGTTTATCCTAAGGATTTTCATCAAGCAAAGCTTCTACAAGCAGCGTGCTCATAGGGCGACCGCCTATCTCGCTTAGCTTGTGCAACCGTTCCTTTCCAACAAAAATCCTTAAAAACAAAAAGGAAGTCATTAAAAGTGTTAATCAAGAATCGCCTGGAGAATGAGGCAAGGCAAATAGACAATCGTTTCATTATTATATAATGCGATTCGCTGAAAACAATAACACCAATTATGATAACTTTATAAATTCACTGTTAACAGAATTTCAGGCGAAAACCTTGATAAGTATATGAAAAACCAGACATTTAAAGGCCGAGTATATGGGAGCTGTTGAGTACGAACGCGCAATACTGGCGATTTCTATTATGTTACTCCTCGACTTTTTACTTTCTGTATAAACAAGAAAGTAAATGTGATTGTCCAGTAATCAGGGGTCATTAATTTGCTTCCTTTCATACATTGCTATTGAGGATTGCCACGAATGTATATTAAGTAGCATTTTTTTCCCTTTCACAGGTACCTGGTATACCGCGCAAACGAATGGCTCCGAGAGCACTCCGAATGGGAGGTAAAAACCTGTGAATCCGTTGAGTTCAAGACCAATTCTGAAGTGATCAACACTGAGCGAATGACGTATTTTGAGTTTGGCGAGCAAAGTACCCGTTACGTAAGATCGCTTAGGTGAGCAAAGGTTCGGCACTAAGCGCACATTGCCCACATGTAGTCGGTAGAACCTTAATTTCAGTCATGCTGAATCAGAAGCAACTATGATGGTAAAGCGGTAACCAGTTCACTGAGGAATAGCGAAGATGAGCATCTAGATGCCTGCGGAAACATATTCCCTCTCTTACTCCCTATAGAGTAGAATCCGAAAAATGGCCCTATGGTTTCAGTCCTGAATGACCTGCTTTGCTAATGCGTGTAAACGTAATGTAAAAAATCAATCATTTTGACGTTCAGACATGCTCCATAGGAATACTTACTCGACTTTCAATCATGTTTTTTTCTACAGCAGGCCCTTCCGATAGAACCTTTTCATGGTTCTAATTGCGTGTTAATTGAACAGTCGTGTACGCAGAGGTTTTTACAACAAGGATCAGTGTAGCTGTACCGCGCGAAAAAAAAGCCGTTGCTTCTTCTTGCGAAATGTTTGTAAATATAACTATAAAATTTTGTACTTGTCTAGAAAATGGTCAAGATTAGACTCTAATAGAACTATTTGTGTATATGCGATTATTTGTTGTATTATGTGTACTTACTCCTCAAATTATATGCGTATTTGTATTGGTGTTTCTGACAGATGATACTGTCTCATGAAAAAAAAGCTCAGTTAACTACTTACTAATGTAAATCAAAGGTGGTTTTACGTGAAACAAGTGTGAAAAGCACATTCTGTAAATCGCGTTAAGCTTAACTGAATTTTAAGTGCTTTAATTGCACTCCACAACTACGACGTGTGGTGTGCGCCAAAATGTTTTGTTTTCTGGTTTTCATTATTTATTTGCAAAGTATGATCTCTCCTAGGGCTTGCCGTATACTAGATAACTTTAACCAGCGCCCAGTAAAGTGCACCATCAAATAGACAAAAAAACCTTTTTTCTTTCAACTGGTGCCGTCGTTGATAACAGGTCATAGCGTATCTTTCTCCTTCGTATTCCTTGCTGACATTTATTGTGTGCGAATATGGTCTCGTCGTGTGGTTGAGTGAGGTTAGGTTTCTGTAGATGACTGACCTGGATCGCCTTACATGCTGTGGTTAAGTTGAGCCTGCTCCAAAAAATTATGCCTATTAGGTACATGCGTATGCCCGCAGTGTTGGCAACGATTCTGCTACGGAAGGTCCGTGCTAGCTTTTGTTTGTTGAACCCAGAGTTCTAGTTGTCGTATTGACATTCGAATTCACTTAGTGTTAATCAACTACTTAACGCTGTATGGGCACGTCGTTGTAAGCATTTCGAATACTGTTGATTACTACCACCTTGGGTACGGCTATTTTTGCTTGCTTTCAGTTTGCACTAGTCCCACATGTAGTAGTAACATGCTAGCGGATGACGTACACGCGTCGATGTGAAATAATGATGCAAAAATGCGCAGATTACGGCTGCTGCGTGTAAATATGATTCTTGTCAGCCTCACCGGTGAATGCTTACAGCGACGCTCGCGTAAACAATTGCACAGGCTCGTATAAATGACAGAAATATACAGTATAAATGTGAGCAGTATCGGTTGATTAAACTAGTTCCGTCTATATATATGCATATTTTACTTCTGTATCCGTTTGATTCCTATTGTACGGTTAACTATAAGGCCGTCTATTAGACGGTACCATTTAGCTAGCCTGACAGTCAGCCATAGCAGACAGCCATCTGTGAACTTTATCAGCATTTGGCCAATTCAAATGCAGCCTAAGAGTAATCTAAGATCCAAAGATCTAATCATCGTGGGTCACAAGACGGACTGACTTGTTTTCAATACTCCTAATCATGACACCAAGACGTACATCAACAATATGTACACACAATATAGTTAGACTGTCATATAGAATATTGATTGAAGATTTCGCTAAGTAGCGGGATAGGTATTAGGGGTTAGGGATAATCTTTTCGCTTTTGACTAATTGAATAGTTGATTGAGTAGATTACAGAATCCGATTTTTCCTTCCTTTGATGGTTTATATCATTATTATACAACTATGTCTAATCATTATATAACAATGTGTTTACCATGCAGTTTAACTCCGTTTGCTATTGATCCGAATATATCGTTAATCGGTTTTCCATTAAAAAATCTAACTTTCACTGATTTTGAATGTCAGTAGTTCTTTAAGACATGACGATCCTTCATCGCACAGAATGGTCAGATGCTGCGATCGATTTCACACTTTTTAAAAAGCTTTTTTTGAGCAGGTTATGGTGTTCGAAAATGTAAAAGAATCACTTAAGGGGCGCGGTTTACGTCAGCGTTGAAGCAGTATTAGATTAGTTCATGAAATTATACAATAGAGTTGTACTCTTATCGTGCTCAACGTCACCGTTTGATATAAAGCACGAATCCTAAAAAGCCGCATTATGGGCGCACTAATGGTCAGTGTTTTAGATATCAGGTAGAAGGATTTCGTTTTTGCTATATTTTCCTTTTTATTAAAAACAATTTATTTTATTGACATCAGATTTTCATCACAGAGATGAAAAAAGTCGTAAGACACCTGCTGCTGACAGTTAGGGTGGTATATTTTTTGTCCGCAATCAGTTTACGATAAACGAAAAATTATCGGTTATGGTTACATAGGAAAGCAATGGTATATTAAAATACAAACGAGTTTGGCCTATTAGGAAATTGAAAGGATGAAATTTAGCTGCGTTTCCTTCCTACATATGTCTTTATTATTGCTTTGAAATGACAACCTAAATTTGCGCCATTCGTTTCATTGATGTTTTCAAACGACAGCCCAAAATTAAAACGCTAATATAAGATATCCAGAGGCTACAACGGAGCTGGTAAAGGGTAAAAGTGGCGCCTTTATTTGATTTCGCCTTGCGCCGCTTTCTTCCGATGATAGGCATTGTGGCTCTCTGAGCAGCTGCCGCAAGCCCCCCGAACAGACGCTTTCTTTGGAAACGAACAGAGTAGTAATATTTATATATTCCGATTATGGGAGTTTTTCCCTGGTAGGCGTCACGTTTACTTTGTATTATGCTTGATTGCTGGGTCCACAAACGCGCGAAATGGCCTTCATTGTAGTATGCATGTAGGCACATGTCGCAATTAGCAAAGTGTTGCAAGTATTCACGAACTCCAAGTCAGCTTTTTCTTCTCTATACAATAGTGCGATATTCGGTAAACAGCTTAAGAGGCGAAGTGAAAGTATGAGAATACCAAGGGCTCGAGCTGCCATGGAAACGCCGAGAGCAACTCTTGTTCTGGAAGTGCGGGTTTCAAACATGGATTGGTCAACTTCTACAGTCGGTTACCGAGAATTCATACCTGAATTTACTGTTATAGCTGCCATAGCAACGAGCTTCCGACGGGAGTTTCCGCCTTTCGGGTGATACGCCCATTCATCTAACGTTTGGACCGTGCTGACATAACGGGGGCTGGTATTCTGGTTGCAGTTGACGCGGCATACCGAAATTGTGTTTGGGAGCATTGCGTTCGGAAATCAGCTGCTCGACTGGCCTGAGTTCTTTTAACGAGAAACGATCTGCGACCTTATTTCTGAATGATGGGTTTCTATTACCTTAAGGCCGTACCTTTTTTTGTAACTTTATTGTAGCTTTTTGGAGGTATCCTTTGACTTTTTCGGACGAAATAGTCCTCCGGCCATTTTTGTTGAGCTATCTCTTCAGTGATTTGCTGATATCAATCCCGAAGTTCCCTGCTTCAGTCGCCCTGCACTGGGGGGCTTTCATCAAACTGTATACAATTTCGTCCATTTCGCAATACAAACACCAATTGACAATATGCCGACTGTAGTCTCGTCTTTCAACGTTGCAAGACTGGTGCTGCCGAGCTCTGTGCACTGTATCCTAAATATTCGAGATTAATTATTCTGACAATTACTTGTTTGATTACTTAGATTCACTTTTAATGCAAAAATATAAGCAAAACCAAGCAATTCTACCGACCGAATTTTTGCTGCGCTGTCTAATAACCAACAATGTGTATAATAATAATAATGTGTATCCTACAGAATGTGGCTAGTCCCACGAACGGATACATCGCGGCCTCCTCAACAAATCGACTATGCCGACCTGATTCCGCAGCAAACGGGCCATGCTGGACTCTTTGGGATGCCAACATTCGAGAGTCTTCATCAGGTAAAAGGATACGATAGCCTTTTAAAACGATTAGCTTAAAAACGGTTTCATATCTATCTTTGTCTTATGCGAATAAACTAGTTAGTCTGTGCATGGTACGTGCCTAGTATGAGCATTTCGCAACACACAGGTTAGATTAGCCAGTTATCATGAAGAACTGCGTCACACTGTGTTCCAAGTAAAAAAAAACAACTGTAAAAAGTTTTTATATGTTTAATAGTTTCTCCGGGCCATTGAAATCAGACTGCATCATTAAGTTGAAGTATAATTGTCCTTCTAGGTATTGGAGCGATATAACTACTCTAGCCGAGGAAAACCTCCACAGGGTCGTGTAATTACGGTGGAAACACAAGAAATGAAAATCCCGACATACTCATCATTCGACCCTGATCGGACATATTGGTGTGAACACGGTGGTCGTACCAAACATTACGTATTTCTTGTACGGGTCTTCTTTGAACTCCAGCCTGGTGGTAGGTTCAATGTTTGTTGTCTTGTTCTCATCAATTCTCAAAAGCATTTAAACATTCAGCGTTTTTTTTTTTGCGGCATACGATAAATATACACAGCAGGCTATATTGTATTCAGTGTCATTAACTTCATTTAAGCTACATTTAAACCAGAATACTGTCATAGATAGTTAATTAGTATATTAAAGTTCTACCTTAGTGGCTTGTCCTGTCTCATGCACACATCCTTTTTGATAATCGACGAGACCACATACCGTAGAAGTTATTACAGTTTGTAATGTATCTATTATTTATTTCTCTGACTGCGCTTTGCCTACTTTTACTGAAAAAAGAAAAACAAAAAAGGTGCCGGCATTTAATATCCGGTTTCCGACGTGCCGCTGCCCCTTTTTTTTGTCTAAATCCATCCGTATTCATAGATATTTTCTTGCTTTTGAAACTTTCAGACCGTTCTTGGGGGGTTAGATACTCTCTTACCCGCCATTTTTCTCATTTTTGTGCTAGGGTTCTGATAGGGTTCTGATATTTTTTCGCTGCGAGTAGGCCACTGATAAGCACTCACTGCCTTTTCTATGTGCGTTACGAGGAATGCCGACTGCCGAGTGCCCAGGGGATTTAGTGTTTACGGCGCCGTGCGTATGCTTGCATTATTACATGAGTGAGTTGTTGTCAGTTCTTCACGTGTGGGGTGATCTCTTCACAGACGCCAGACCATGTCTATTTCCATTCTAGTGGGCGTTATCAAAGCACCACACTAGTTACCTCCGTGTCCAAATCGACATTAGTTGCCGCCTTATATTGGATAAAATTTCGTTATACCGCTAAAATGTTCTTATCTGTTATCAATAAAAGGGTAATCGTGTGTAAACTGGGAGAGGCTGCAATAGGGATAGCCATACGCTGTATCTTCGTTGTGTGCGAATTTTATCCCGTACAAAGCTACCATCATTGCTGCCCTCGCCATAGACTCATAACAGAAGTTGCAGAAGCTAATGAAGGCTAAAATAGGTAATACGATAGAGACATGGAAGCGGTGCACTGAAAGATACTTTATCTCTGTGACGATAAGACATACTATCCGTCGACTATGGTTGTCGTTGAGGTGGTTAGTATATCAGCGGTTTAGGAGATTTGCATTCTAAATATACACATTATGTTCTAGTTATACGTTCTTTGTTTCACATGTACATAACCATGAACCCAATACCTCTTCGGCACCTATTTAGAAGGCAGACCAAACAGGGTGTATCTATTGCTGTGGTAAAAGTGCCAGCGGAGGGTGGAGTAAGCAAGTGCAAAATCTCGGTCGGACCAGATGTGGTGAGGAGTGCGAGGTTTTCTGGTTATCAGGATGACGTCCTTGAAAGTACATCGTGTCGTGGTTTAGAGAAACTGCGAAGGAGAGTGGAAGAGAGATTAGATATAAAACAGACACTAAAAAAGGAACAGAAATAGGATAGGCCTCACTGAAATGGAGTTCAGCCGAGAAACATCAACCACTAAAAGCGGGTTAGAAGGTATAGGGCGGATAGACCTTAGACCTGGTCATTGGGCAAGGCAGGTCCGCATAGGTTAAGGGGTTAGGGCTTTTTAAGATTTTGCACTTCCGGACGTTCGTATGTGCTCGCCTCAGTATGGGGAATTTAAATAGCTGCAGAAACAGAAGATATGGCAGGTACATAGAACCGCACAATAGGCAAAATGGTCGGCATATGTTGATAACGTTTTATCAAAAGAGGTCAGCAACTTTTGAAAAGAGTTATGTAGACTTATGTAGGCCTCGCACGTTCCGTGACTCGGTGATGGTTATCTCGTAAACTGAATTGACGAGAGCAGGACAGAAAACTGTGATATCTTAGTTATTAAACTTGCTATTAACTCTTAATTTATTTGCAATGTTTACACGATATTACTACTATGATTATCACTGTGAACAGAGAGGACGATATGGAAGTTAATAATAATATATAAATGTGTGCAATATGTTTACATGCATACACTGGGAGTAGCATAAATGTTATAAAATATACTTTAATTAAAAATCTCGGCCGAAATGGATCTTTATTATTAGTTATCATATTACCGTTACCATAATGTCATGCTGGTTAATAGGGTGTGGCCTACCAGCTTAGTTGGTTTTAAGGTCGTGGGGATGAGGCCATGGTTCAAACTTAATCCCTGAGTGAACAAAGTCTTTTTACCAAACTTGAAAGTACGATAGATCTCTTATGTGCGTTTGTTTTATGTTTATCTTTTGTTATCATCATTTTCCATTTTTAATCATGTTTCTTCTGGAAAATAGCTTTAACGTCCGATGATGCTGGAGCTAACCATTGACTATTATCATACATTTCCAACAACCCATTAACCTGAACAGGTGCGGGTGTAGATCCATAGCAAAACCATTGCTAGAATGTATTTCATCATTTAATAAATTTAGTTATATTACTCAATAGTGTGTACATGTTTTTCCATAAAAATAATATATTAATAACACTGCTATACATTGTATTACTGATTTAGATCAAAATGAATTTGAAACACCCTTGGATTTCGACTGCAGATCCAAGGGGGTTATTAATTCCATGGCCTAAACATTTTAGGTAAAAATGCCAAATGTAAATGAAAATGTTAGGATCTAATGCACTGAGTTGATGGCAAATATGTTACTTTTTACTTTTCTATACTGTAAGCATATTACGACAATTAGTTCATTTTTGTCGAATTTATTTTAAACATGTTATATGTTGTAAAAAATATAGAAATTGCATTTAAAGAAAACAAAAAGGTGAAATAAGGAAAACATAAAAATAAGGGTTTATAGATGTAGTCTTCTGACCGTGATTTTTTTATTATAATTTGCAATTCGTGCAGGTTATGGTATCCCAGAAGAAATCGGTGTAGCAGATTTTGTACCGCAAAGTCTCTCATCAGGTGGACTTTTCTCTACTCCACAGTTTGAAGCGTTTTCGTCTGTCGTGGAACGCGCATCAACTTGGTGTTCACAACAAATCGCGTTGCGGTTTTGCAATGCTCAGTCGATCGAGATTAAGCTGAAATCTGGACGAGCAGTTGTTGACACGCAGAGAATGTGTTATACAGGTGAGTAAGGGTTTCTGTAGGCCGACAGAAATTCCATGCTGAATGTTAAAATTGCAAAGCTTCCTGTGATACCATTTTGCGATATTTTTGAGCATTTTTGAGACGAGCATTGATATACAGAAATTCTCCCTGTGAAAATATAATTGATCGATGAGCACGTTAAGTCTTTATTGCAACTTTGTGTTATCTAATCATCTACTTTTCGTATTCTCTTAGAGAAATTACAAATGTGGTCAATGAAAACTTTTTCATTGCAGAACATGCGGAACGAAGTACCTTCTATGTTCGAATTCTTCGTATTGCGTATGCGAAAAGCCCGCGGTCAACGGCCTCATTAGAGGGATTGCCCCCACCGTGCGGGCCCCTTAGCCCTCCGTTGCAACTTCGCTGCAAGACATTCGTACCGGCCCAGTTAACGAGGGGATTCCTTGTGCCCGAATTCGAGAGCCTTTCCGCTACAAAACGTCGAGTCGAGGCCTGGATATCGGCAACATGTATTATGCCTTCCTTTTTATCTACATATCTTCAAGAAAGATAGATCAGATTATATTTTTGGTACATTTTCTTCTTTTCTCCGCTTCTTTTTGTTACCGATTAAAGCCTCGCCTTAGATGCGAATATACCACGGCCCAAATAATTCTATGAAACACTACGACCGACTAATTGACGCTAAGTTCCGTTCTCATTCGTAAATGCATTAGATCTTGCACTACTTATATCTATAAGAGATCAATGATAATTATTTGAAGTATGCACCTACTCTGCATTAGACGTGTTATCTAGACGGGGTGAAAGGCGAGAGGCGGTAACGACTGCCGTTATACATGCAGGGCGACGTGAATACTCAAATGCAAAAACGCCTAATCTACTAATACAAACTATCTGACGTTCTATTTCCGCAGGGTGTTAATTTTACACGAATATTATTCCAAAGTAATGCCTACTTCCCACTTCGTTGAAAATTGCAGGCGCTCGAGTGCTCAGCTCGGAAACCGTTGCAATGCGCTTGTACACTGGCGGCGAAGCACAGCCAGGTGTGGAATCGTCCTTTTCGTACAATGCTTCACGAAACGAGTATTGGATATATGTGATACGAGTGTACCTTGACGGAGTGTATAGCGAGCCACCATCCGATATGTTGCCTGACCTGCCCAATGTTCAAGAGGTTGGTTGCTGCTCCGTCCAGTAAGACAGAAACATCGAATAAAGCAGAATGGCAAAGTGTTCTTTACGCTGACACCCAATCAAATCAGGCAGACTATCAGAATATACGTATGCAATTACAATAAATCCACTAAAAGCAACAGCAACGCCATTGACTTCAACTGGCTCAGCAGCGCGATATGCAAGGAAAGCTAAAACTGTTTTGAACGATGAGGCCACCTTTGCCACCGAAGGTTATGAAGAGGCAAAATTACGTACATGGTGGTGGTACGACTACATACATTATTTGTGATCGTTTGAGCGCGCGTATGTAAGAATGTATTTGGCCATGCAGGAATTCGTAGCCACCTCCAACAAAAAAAACTAACTCGTGGATTTAAAAGAACCTGAATCAGCGTATAACAAGAGAGGATGCAAGCTTGAATTAAACTAATAGAAACTTATATTGCGTTTCGACTAATAGTGGCCGTTGGACTGTGTATGTTTATCACGGAGAACATGATAACAATAAACAATGGGAGCGGCGCTAGAATGTTCGGTTATATTTTTGTCTACGAAAAAACAATTAAGGATTGATATTCTCACGCCCATCAATAATACAAAGCGTTGCTCTGTCGTGATGTGTTTTTTGGAGGGTGGTCAACGTCTGATATTTATTTATCGAACATGGTTTTCACTTCATAGGTCATATACTTGCACCTCAAGGGACCACATCACATGTTTGTGCACGGCCTGAGTAACCTGCTGTTGCACGGCATATTTGCCACTCACAAAACTCGCAGATCCAAGCAGTTTGTTTCGTAATGAAGCTCGCGCTACTTGAAGTAAATATGAAATGTAGATATTATATATACAAAATGTTATTTGCATAAGGCCGTATAATGACCGTTGTGAGTCAAATCGCTGTAAAACAAACCACTTAGGATATTTTCTCTTGATAATCACCTGATTAGATAAAGGGCAATACTCTGGTTTAGAGCTATGGTAATAATTCAGTAAATAACAGTCATCTGCTATTAATTGGTACCCTTGAGATATATATTACAGTTAGAAGCAGAAATAGTTCATTATGATACGGTTTAATTCTTGTCTGTATTGTACGAAGAAACGAGTTGACCCCATGTTGCTCACGACTGCCTATTATAGCATGCCACTGACTTAAAAAACAATTTGAAAGTAGTTCCTCATTGCGTTACTGTCATTGGTGTTGCGACGACGAGTGAAGAACGATCATGCAAATATATATATATATATATATATATATATATATATATATATATATATAGTGTAAATAGTGTACCTTGCTAAATACCTACAGAAAGAA